GTGAAGTCAGAAATCTCCATGTATTTAACTTGTATGTGTGTGTCTGTGTGTGTGTTTCCTTCCTTCCTTTGTTGGTTTTGTAAGACCTCAGCTTCCTAGAATAATCAAGAATTTCTAGCAGAAATATATTTTGTTCTTGAAAGTTCCTTCAATTATGTGAAAGCAAATTCATGAATGACCTTTGTCAAGGGCTCAAATTGTGTTATAACAAAAAGAAATGTCTGATAAGCTTGTGATCCCAGAGATCCCTTTTCTTTCCTTCCCTTCCTTCCTTAATTCCTTCCTTCCCTCCTTCCTTCCTTCCTTCCTTCCCTTCCTCCCTCCCTCCCTCCTTCCTTCCTTCCCTCCCTCCTTCCTTCCCTCCCTCCCTCCCTCCTTCCCTCCTTCCTTCCCTCCCTCCCTCCTTCCCTCCTTCCTTCCCTCCCTCCCTCCCTCTCTCCCTCCCTTCTTCTTTCTTTCTTTCTTTCTTTTCTTTCTTCTTTCTTCTTTCTTCCTGTTCCTTTTTCTTGACACAGGGTCTCCCTGTAGCTCCAGCTACCTTGGAACTCACTATGTAAACCAGACTGGACTTGAAGTCACAGAGATCACCTGCCTTTACCTCAGTGTGCTGGGATTAAAGGCATGCGCCAACAGGCCCAGCCTCACCTGAGTTTCTGTCATCTCCCAATGACTCAAATTCTGAGCCCTAATGTATGAATCCATTGATAAGAGTCCACATAATCTTCAGCAGGGCGTGGTGGCATACACCTTTAATCCCAGGGGTTGAGGCAGAAGCATGCTGGATCTCTTAAGTTCAAAGCCAGCGTGGTCTACATAGTGAGTTCCAGGACAGCTGGAGCTACAGGGAGACCAAAAAAAGAGAGAGAGAGACCACATGATCTTCAAAGCCCTGCTTCTGAGCATTACTTCGTTGGCATCCAAGCCATGAACCTTTAGATGACATCCCAGATCCAAACAGGAAGGCTCTGTTCACCACAGAGTGGTGGACTGATGAAGCTAGCACAAGGGCTGCTGATCTGTCTACGCCCTCAGCTCCCCTTGCTCTCAGAAGACCACAGTGAGTGTTTTCTGTGTACATCCCTGTGGCAGTCATGAGAATTTTTGTCACAGCCAGATAATTCTCTTCCAACTTCAAGCCCACAGATAAGTATTTGGGCAGCTATAGGACCTGTGCCTGTCAGTTTGCCAAGCTCAGGCCTTGAAACCCTCCCAGTTTGTGAACCCCTTAAGAATTATCGCAAGTCCTTCAGGTTCCTGTGAGAACTTTGTACACTAAACACATTGGAATAGCGCTGATGTCAGGGCAAGTCTCAGTACTGAGGGGCCACCAGTAGAAGCTGAGTAAAGCAAATCTTTTAAGCTTTTGAACACCCACTCTTTGTGCAACTTGTAAGGACTGGCTGCCAAGTGTAATGTAGAAGCATTCAAAAAGGGTTTTCTGTTTGCCCAGGCTATGATTTGAAAGACTGGGAAAAGGAGAAATTCCTTTGAGTGACTAGACATGGACCAGTGTGGACTTACAAGCTGTAGGTACCCAGACTGCCTTCACATAATGCTCCAGAAAAGGCCTCTCTGCTAGGAGGCAACACTAGATGGCATCTACAGTCCCATGAAAGAACTGAAGAGTCAAGATATACAATGAGAAGCCTACACTTCAGGAATTCTAGATGAATGAATTACATTTGGAGATGAGACCGGCAATGGCAGAAGTCAGTGGTCCAGAGGAATGGAAAGTCAGTAGTGTTAGCCAGCCCTATTTCAGAAAACACGGGATGAGAAGAAAGATTAGCCTTGCACTGAAGGGCAAGAAGTCGCTCTTGATCATTCCAGACTCCACAATAACCAGCTGCTGTATTGGCAAATCCCACTCAACTGGGAAGCAGTCCTCTAGCTGCTTACCCTAGAGCTATTCTGCCCATATCAGGCCTTTGAGCTTCAGAGGTCAGCCAAGGGAAAGGTCTCTGACAGCAGATTGTTCACTGTGTACCCCTGGCTGGCCTGAAACTCCAACCAGGCTGCTCTCAACCTCACAAGATCCACCTGACTCGACCTCCCAAGTGCTGCAATTAAAGGCATGTACCACCATTCCTGGCCATATATGTGTGAGTGTATGTGCGTATTTATCTCCCCACCCCCTTTAATCCAAGGCTGGGAGGCAGAAGGCAGAAGCAGATCTTCCAGGTCAGTTGGGACTGCGTAGTGTATATAGTGAGACTGTCTCCAAAAAAAAAAAAAAACCACTGCCACCAACAAAACACGAGCTTTAAAAGCCGGCATCAGTGTGCCATCTGTATTCGACATGACACAGTAGCAGCCAACTAGCCCTGTGCCTTAGCACAGCCCTGTAGCCACATCAACGTTTTTTTTTTGTTTTTTGGTTTTTTGTTTTTTTTTTGGTTTTTTTGAGACAGGGTCTCCCTGTAGCCCCAGCTGGCCTGGAACTCACTGTGTAGACCAGGCTGGCCTTGAACTCAGAGATCTGTCTGCCTCTGCCTCCTGAGCGATAGGAGTAAAGGCATATGCCACCATGCCCAACAATTTTTTGTTTTTGTTTTTGTTTTTGTTTTTGAGATAGGGTCTCCCTGTATCCCCAGCTAGTCTGGAGTTTACTATGTAGACCAGGCTGGCTTTGATCTCACAGAGATTCACCTGCCTCTGCCTCCTGAGTGCTGGGATTAAAGACGTGTGCCACCGTATCTGGCCAAAATATATATCTTTTTAATTTTCTGTGTATGTGTATCACTGTGTGTAGGTGCCAGCAGAGGTCAGAAGAGAGTCTCAGATCCCCTGGAATTACAGGTGATTATGAGCTGTCCAAGGTGGATGCTAAGAACTGAGGTTCTCTGGAAGTGCAGCTAGTGCTCTTAACCACTGAGCAATGAAAAATCTCTCCAACCCCAGCTCTATCTTTTCGCCCATAAAATGTGGATAATTAGCCGGGCGTGGTGGTGCACGCCTGTAGTCCCCACACTTGGGAGGCAGAGGCAGGTGGATCTCTGTGAGTTCAAGGCCAGCCTGGTCTACATGGTGAGTTCCAAGACAGCTGGGGCTACAGGGAGACCCTGCTTCAAAAAGGAAAAAAAAAAAGTGGATAATTATGCCAGTCTACAAGGTCATTGTAAAGACTGGTTGAATTAGTACAGGAAGAGCACTGGTAATAATCATGCCTACTGCATAAGAACCTAATAAGCATTCACTGTTTTTATCTGAAAGTTCCTTGCCATCACTTCAAGAGGAAACAAGGGGGACACAGTCTCAAAAATTTTTGTTTTTCATTTTTATGTGTCTATGAATGTGTGCCACATGTATGCAGGTGCCTGTGGAAGCCAGAAGAGGTCACCTGGAGCTGGAGTTACAGGTAGTTGTTTGCTGCTTGATGTAGGTGCTGGGAACCGAACTTGGGTCCTCTGGAAAAGAAGGGCTTTTAACTCCTGAGCAATCTCTTCATCCCCATCCTCATTTCTTTTTTTTGCACTATGTTTTGGTTTTTGAGACAGGCTCTCTTGTAGTTCAACTAACCTTGAATTTGCTGCGTTACTGAGAGTAGATCTGAACTCTCTTCCTCCTGCCTCCATTGCCAAGTGCTGGAATTATAGGCATGTGCCACCACACTGGGCTTCAATTTGATTTTTTTCTTATTTCTGTGTGTGTGTGTGTGTGTGTGTGTGTGTGTGTGTGTGTGGTTTTTTGAGATGGGACTCTAGGCCCAGGTAGTCTTGAACTCAATATATAACTGAGGATGACCTTGAACTTCTGATCCTCCTGCCTCTGCTGCCCAAGTACTGGGATTATGTGGGTGCACCCTTATATCTAGTTTATGAAATGCTGAGGATTGAAC